GTTCTCAATTTGACCTCCGGTGTTCTTTACGTGACCACTTCATCAAAACCTCGCGCCTGTGTGTCTGCATCATACTCGACTCCAACATTGCGATGTCTTCAACGTAGAATATCAGCCAAAAACCTTTTCGAACAAATTTCTCTCGAATGGTCGGGCGGAATGTAATGAACCAGACCAGGGGACTTGTGCCTTCATAATTTTTCGCAGGAAGGAGAACCGCAGCGCTGTCTCTTGAGCACAAGTCACACAAGATGACTCAAAGTTGGGTTCATGCAGTGAGATGTGTAGAGCTTCAGTCGATGTGTCTCCCTGCCAAGGAAACTGATAGTGGAGAAACAAAGCTTGCAGGAGGGGTCTTTCATTGTTGTGAGCTTTTACATTATCCTCATCCCAGGTGTCGTTCTCTCCTACAGTATCTACCTTCATCAGTTACGGTCCGCCCCGAAATCTCGAGACTTCTCATGTATAGATTCCTGTACTTGAACTTGCTACTTTAACTCTTCTGTTCCAAGCTACACACTTAACTTCTTACATGGTATCAGAGTAGATCATGGGCCTTTCAACATTATGGAGGTGTGCCCACTATAGTCACAGGAGATGTCAGGCTTAGAAGTTAGTAAAACTCAGACAAGACAGGCGAGGGGTAATGACCAGGGCGCCATGAATTCGTCAGCGCCTATGACAATCGGTCAAGCTATCAATCACACTTTTAATTCCAGATGTGTATCAACTGACCGGCATTGAAAACTACGGCACTTGGGAATTTCGCATGTGGAGTGTTCCACAGAGAGATGGGCAGTACGAGTATTGTCTCACATCAACAAGCGTTGAGAGCGATCACTACCAGCGTGCAAAGGGGAGTTGCGCTTAAGATTATCAATTGCTATACAGAGCCGTGCGCATGTTGAACGTCTTTGCAAATCCAACAACACTGCTCGTCAGGTCACGTTGATTGGCAAATTCTTTAGTATTAGCAAGGTGAATAGAATGGATGAGTATGTAGCTGATGAGAAAGAAGCCGCAGATTTGTTCGATGAAGATTGTTGTTTCCTATACTCTTCAAAATTTCCCCAAAGAATATGATGTCGTTAAGCAAATTATATTTAATGAGAGAAAGTTGCTATCATATTTTTAACTGGAATTATGATTTTGAATGAAAAGATGGCAAATCCAGGACAATAGCTTACAGCTGTAGCAGCTCTTACAATTCTAGAGGTTATTCAAGCTCTCTCGGAGGATACTCAAACAACTCAGAAGGAGGTTTCCTAAATTATCAACATGGATGCGATCGATATGGTCAAGTTGGAAGTAAATGTTATCGTCAACCTCAACAACACTCCAACTCTTATACTCGATCCAAGCTGGAATTGATAGAAGGCAAGCTCAAGGTGCTCATGAATAGAGTATAGATGGAACTAAGATTTCATCGGCTTCAGCGTGGGCGTCGTAGACGAGGCATCAACAGTCAGGTTCACAATGTTGATGCCGATCAGAATGACTAGGACCACCAAGAGCTTAGCATCGGTGTTGAAAACGAGAACTTTGGTAATGAAGATGGGTTGGCATCACAAGTAATTTATTCCTACATTACTGCAAAACAACAACGTGGATGCAAGAGCATCATCAGCTCCTTGGTACTTGGACTTAAGGAGCCTTCACTCATGTCTCAAGTGATTCTTCAATATTCTTATCACTTTCTTGTAGTGGTACTCAAAATACCTTGGCAGGGAGCTAGGGACAATACGCTTTCCAAATGGAAAAATACAAAGAATCCACCATGTTCTTTACTTGCCTGAGATTATAAAGAACTACGTTTGGTTGGTTTTTTGACGGATAGTATATTACGTTTTAAAATTCTTGAGTGATAAGTGTCTTATCAAAAGAGAGTTGGGGAAAACAATAGCAGTCGTTGTGAGGGACAAAAAAAAACTGGTTTGTATAGATTAGAAGGAAAGACTATCTGTGACCTTTAAATTGTTAACCCCAGCATCACCCCACATATTCTAAGCGGTATCAATAATCGCTTGTCCTCATCATCACCTTTGCACAAACAATTAAGAAACTATCACTCACAAGGTCTCAGAAGAACGATAAAATTCAAAGCAATCAAAGGTCTCCCATATGTTTCAGTGAGTAACTTGCCTAGAGAAAGTTGTTTCAATAAAAAGCAGAGTTGAATACCCTAATCTAACTCACTTTGTAGGAACTCATTACCATTTCTGTCTCTAGAAAACTTATAATGAGCTCCTCTAAACTTTTTCGCTACTAGTAGTACATAGCTGATTGACCTTGCTATTGCACCTTTTCTATTGTACTAATTATAGCAATGTGATTAACAATGGGGCTCAATAAGATTGCACCCAACCTTATATTAGAAGTAGAAATGTGAGATGCAATTTAAAACTCTTAGGATGAGTCTAAGAGAGGGTTTTGTAAGCTTAACATTAGATAGTATCTACGTTCATCAATTATGTTCAGCCCCAATATCTTGAAACTTTTTATGTATATATTTTTGTACTCAAACTTGCTACTTTGGCTCTTTTGTTCCACAATTTACCATTAGCTTTTTACATTCATGACTTCTATCTTTAGGTTAAATGGATGTCACTATATATGCAAGTAATTTTCTTTTGCTTTAGTAACATAATAAGAAATTAAGAGTCATGTGTCACAATTTTGTTGAACTTAAGTTGGACCATATTAATGAACAACAATTCAAACTAGTTTGATCAAATTGAAGATTATTTTGTGGAAAATTTTGTAAATTTTTAAATTGAATAAGTGTCTATTATAAAACATGAGATTGGCTATTTTTTAAAAAAAATTTGTAAAGAATGGTCATATTTTATTGTTGGTTTGTTGTAGTGTGGATATTCTATCATGGCACAAAGCCTTTTGAAATGAATTCTATCTGCACACAAGTTACATTAAATGTAAATTTATGATATTCCATGTGTATATGTGGATAAATATAATATATATTTGTCTATATATTTTACAGAAAAGAATTGATAGTTTTATGAATATACAATATTGAGATGTGATTTCATGTTTTTGTCATTTTTTTTTTCTTTTAAATATATTTTAAGATGTAAAATTGATATTGATTTAAGACATGTGTGAATGTAAAGTATGAAACAAGTATTAAAAATATACATGCATGTTTGTTTGTTTGTTTGTTTTTTTTTGTTGCCTTTAGCAAATATTTGGTTTTGAGTAGTGAGCAACCTAGATTATAGGGCCTTTGCAAGGATTATTTTTATCTTGCCTTCAATCCACCACCACGTTTGATAGTTAACAACCTTTGATAATTAGTATATTTTTGCAACAAATAATATTAATTAACATGAGAAACAATGTACTTTTGTTTAAAATTTATTTAAAAGAATCACTTCAAGTTTTTATTTATTAAGTGAATATATTCTCAACCATACTTAAAGAATCCTATATAGAACATGTAGATAGATCAATAGTAGTAACAAATAATAATAATATATTAATAATAGTAAAAAAAACAAACAAATAATAACAACAACAAAAATAGATACATAAATGAATGCTAAATGGCCACAAATTTATTAGAAGTTATTTAAATTTATTTCCTATTTATAAATAAAATAATATGAAGAGTTATCAAAGTCATTAGATCTAAATACTAGAAATACTAAAAAATCTTAAAACAAAATCAAAGTACAAGAAAGGCATTTACAAAATTAAGATAGCCTCAATTTTTTGTGATTATATACTAGCTAATAAAAAGATAACATGCAAGCTTTTCAAAAAATATGAGGCTTATAGGATAAGTATTTAAATTGTAGAATGTTTCCATAGTAGCTTATTAAATCAAAAACATATTAATATTTTTATAATTTATACATGACATATCAAAGGACATTTGTAGATCCAACCAACATCTAAAAAGCATTGGCAATGTTTCACGTGTTAGATACTATCAACCTAAATTATTCCTATTTATTTCTATTTAAACATATGTGATAAATTTCATAGGAAAATCTTAATAAAATCTTTAAAAAATAACACATACTTATGTAGAATTAATTAGACAAATAATAAATAATAAGTAAAAACCAAATTTGTGATATTTTATTTTAAATGGATTTAATCTGTAAAAATAAATGCATTTGTAAAAATATGACATAAAAGATATTTTATTAAATTCAAAATAAAGGTTTTTATTATGATTATAATTTCAATTAGACAACTCAAAATCATATTAGATTTTCATTTTTATTTTTATTTTAAATAAATAGAATTAATGTAGAATTGTATCTTTTACACAATATTATTTGTGTACTTGAATGTATACACATCTATTTAATTGTATTTATGTACACAAGACCAAATTTTAATACCTAAATTTATATCTATGTTATTAAATAAAAAAATTATTTATATACATGTTAATGTTTCACATTATATATATATATATATATATATGTAGAATTAAACATACACATAATATTTTATATTAAAAATATCAAGATTTTTTGTCCTGTTTTATTTTTGTTTTTAATTAGATGGATGTTATATGTTATCAACTGACTAGATATAAATTACAGCATAACCTGGATTCAAATCAAAATAGAATTATTAAAAAAGATGTGTGATTTGCAATAATAATAATTGTATTTTTCTTCTTAAAAAAAAGGGTATTGATTTTACAAATGATTGTTTGAATATATATATATATATATATATATATACATACATACATTCACGCATATGCATGAGGAGTTTATATCTACAGATATAAAATAAAAAATCATTTCTTTGAAAAACAAAAAGATTTTGAAGTTATATAGAGGCTACTAACTACCAAGCCCTAACAATCGATGCAGACAGAGTTAAGATCACAAGGAAGCATCAAAGATAAATGTTAGCTCCATTGATAAACCTCAGTAGATGGAAGCATTGACCATGAAGAATAAATACGCAAATAAATAAGTTAATTAATAAATAAAAAGAGAAATCGAACGTTATGAGAAGACAAAAAAATCATTGAAAATCGATTGGCATTGTGCCCACAAACCAGGCACACAATGACAAAACACAAGACTGCTCTCAACTTCACCAATTTTCCACTTGGCTAAACCCTAAACCTGGGTCCATAACGAAACCCTAAATCAAGGGCAAATGGAGAGTTGACAGAGAGAAGGAAGGAAGCTGGTGTGTGTATAATTACAGCAGTTACTTCTTTTTTTGTTTCTGAAGAAGCACAATAGAAACATGATATATTTTGTTTGTCAAGGTCTGTGGCCGGCTCCGATTCCAATCCATTGTGAAGATCTACATCTCTACTCTTGACTTGACTTGACTGACTTGACTTAACTGAGTGATGATCTTTCTGTACATGTCTGTCTCGTTTTCTATCTCCTTCGCTTCCTCCTCGCATCTGCCCTTCGTGTGTCAAAATTTTTACCGACAAAACGTGTCCCGAGTGACACCGCAAGTCACACCGTTGTTGTAAGTGTTCTTGAGTCAGGATTGAGTTCTTTGATAGCTTGGATTCAAGTTAGTAGCTCATTGCTGCCGGATGAAATTGAAACTTCCATGATGTGCTCCTCCTGGGGGAATTGGCATAGTGATTGATATGCGCTTCTGGTTTCGAAAGTCTGGAAGTTTTGTTGCGACGAACCCACTGGACTGTCTTCAAATTAAACTGTTTTTTTTTTCTGAATACATGCAGCCAGAGGGGTGCCCACCTCTTGATTGAACGTCAGCCTGCAGCAGCAGATCAAGGCAGGGTGGTGCCGATTGCGTCTTTAAACATCTCAGACCAATACCCAACCTCCTGTCAGTTTTTCACAATTTTCCGGATATGACCTCCTTGAATTGGTAAAGGAGCGTATCGCCAGATGAGCTGTTACTGAGAGAAATAGCTTCGGTGTGCTTGGTGCTGTACATGTCAATGTACCGCCGCTGATTTGCAGGGAGAGAGGACTTCGACATGGGGTCGTCTGTTTCAGATTGCATTGGAAGAAGAGACAGCAGAACCTGCGATACGTCATACATTGACGGGCGATGAGATGGGTTCAGCTTCGAACACAGAAGGGCTAGCTTTAGAGTCTTCTCCAGCGCGTCCAGATCTTGGCATGTAGCTCGAACGTGTGGATGGATCACATCCTGTATCGTCTTGCCTTCTAGTTTCGACATGACCTGCGACACGAGCCAGCCATGATCTGGGTCAACTAATTCTCAACAACATTTCTTGACCATATCCACGTGTCTACTTATTCAAACGCAATTTCATGAAAGGTTGGATTAAATGGTACCCAATCGAGGAGGTTGACTTCATCGTCTACAGCCATTTTGTTCGTGAGAAGCTCCAGGAGAACGATACCAAAGCTGTAAACATCCGACTTCACGTTCAAGCGAGACGTTTGTGCGTACTCGGGATCAATGTACCCAATGGTGCCCAGAATGTGAGTAGAAGTGTGCGTTCTCGCTGCCTGTATGTTTTTCGCGATGCCAAAATCCGCAACATGTGCCTCCATATCTGCATCTAGAAGAATGTTGCATGATTTTACGTCACGGTGCACCACTTGCGGCTTACAATCCCTGTGAAGGTACGCAAGCCCCTGAGCTGCTCCGGTTGCAATTCTGAGCCTTGTGTTCCAGTCGAGCTCTGTCTTCGACACATGACCTACGACAGAGAGGTTTCCACGTTGAAACAAGGAGAAAACTTGTAGAGCAGTCGGAAAATAAACAAATTAAAATTAAAGTTTACAGATTCAGTATGAGGGCTTTTACCGTGAAGATGATCATGCAAGCTCCCATTTTCCATGTAATCATAGAAAAGAAAGTTGCCGATGGAGGACATGGAGTAGCCCCGCAGAGTGACAAGATTTCGATGTTTGATGGTGCCCAACGTCTTTAACTCCGTCTCAAATTCATGGACGTTTTGTGCAAATTGGTTGTACAGCCTCTTGATTGCAATGGGGTGGCCGTTTTTCAGGTAACACCTGTATACTGTGCTTGATCCTCCCCGTCCGATCACATACTTTTCACTAAGATTCTCTGTGAGACGCATCATCTCATCGTAAGATTGCGGCGCCATGCCTAGGTTAAGTATCACAAAACTCGGTGGACCTGTTTGCGACATCAATTAGTGCAAATTAGTATTTATGAAATTTTCCAAATGCAGTAGGTAGAAGGCGATAATTTAGGATATATGCGAACTCGTTGAATTATATTCTGGAATGAGTTAATCGTGTACCTTGAGATGTTTTGCTGGATGTTTTTATAAAAATGCGCGGTTGGGCATATCGAATAGCCACGACAGTGAGGAGGACAAGCAAGCAAAGTGCTGAAATTGTGATTCCCCATGTAGCTGATACCCCAAGTGTGCCTGCGGAGATGTTCCATTATTACTTGTATCAGGATGCTGTATTAATTGTAAGGCTCCTAATGAAATAAACAGTGGAGAACTTTGACCTGAAATCCCAAATGTTTCCCCAACGAATGAAAGAAGCTTAGCTTTTCCAGACCATACATACCTGGAGGGTGAGATTCAATGTTCATGGGCTGCAGAGGAATGAGCCCACATGAGGCACTACTATTTGTGCAAAGCAGGGGGTTCCCAGCGTAGCTGCCAAGGAATAATCAACTTCTCAGAAATCGCATGACAAGATGTAAAGCAACTACGAGAGTAGAAGTCATTTGTATCAACATTCCTAGGACGGCACATCTTAGCTGGAGAGAGTCTTTAAGTTTCAGGCAATTCATTGCTTTTCATTGATTTACCTGCTGGAAGGAAACCTTGAGAAGAGCTCGTCTTGAGGAATAGTTCCCGAGAGATGATTATAGGACAGATTCCTGCATAATGATAGGATTGAGAGATGAGCTTCAATAACTTTGAACTAGTTCGATGTCTTCACATTGAGAGCTTCACAGTCTGCTTCTTGTATAACTACCGCACTGTGGATTGTTCCTTCAAAGGAAGATTTCCAAACACTCAAACAAGAAAGCAAGCTATGAATACTCAATGAAGGGTTCGCCACTTACAAGTACTTCAAACCGAAGCATTCTTTCAGTGGCACTGGAATGGAACCTGAGAGATTGTTGTAACTCAAATCCCTGAAGTATACGAAAAAACATGTAATGATTAGCAGATACAGGCGAGTGCAATAGGATTAATGAACACCGTTGGATATGAAGGAGGGTAAGTTGTAGGTAGTGCTCACAAGTGTAGGAGCTCTAAAAGTTGACCCAGCTCAGGGGGGAGAGACCCTTGAATATGGTTATGCGATAAGTCGCTGCCAACAGCAAGTCAAAAATTAGAAACACAACACAAACCACTTTTCAAAAGCACAAAGACTCAGAAATGATAGCAGAAGATATAAAACATTATAACTAGTTCTCAATAAACATCACTTTGGACTTAATCCCACCTGAGATAATGAAGGCAACTTACAGAAAGTTCAGGCTCTTTAAGTTGCCGAACGTCATTGGAATAGTACCATTCAGTTTGTTGCCGTGTAGATCTCTGCTTTCACAAACGAATCTTAGTAGTGTTAATAAAACAAGCCAACAAATGAATACAACGCTAAGTAGTACTCTGAACTAAAGTTGAAGAAACGTTGTTTCCGAAACTTACATTGTGAGCAGATGCTCAAGCGTCGAGATTGAGGCTGGCAATTGCCCAGTTAGATTGTTATGTGACAAATCCCTGAATAGAAAATTAACGAAGTCAATGCAAAATTTAATGACCATCAAGGATGCAGAAATCACACAGATTGGATGAGGAGATTGGGCATTGAACATTTCATTCAAGTACGACTTGATTTTTATTTTATAGCAGAAACTTGACTCACAGGATGTCAAGGTTCACAATCATTCCAATCTCCTCTGGCACAATTCCGGTGAAGTGATTGGATGACAAATTCCTGGGAAATACAACCGATAGCTAATCAGTTCCTGAATCTGGACCCCGAAGCGTAAAAAAAGTGGTTGCTTTGGAGGTCATGTTTCTCCTGAAATCAGATTCACAACACCTGAAGTAGAACTCACAGTAGGGTGAGATTGGTTAGCTGTTGAAGTCCTGGAGGAATACTTCCGGTAAGCTGGTTGCCGTGCACATTGCTGAATGAATACAACAGTGTAATTGAGAATCTAAAGTGCGTGGTTAAATAAAACGCAGGATTTGAAAATGAAAAGCACCATATTTCAATTTCAATTAGATCTTAGCATAGTGGTAGGAAGAAGAATGTTTACAGAATGTTGAGTGCAGTCAATGAGCTGATGTTTTCGGGAATAGAACCAGAAAGCTGATTATCAGACAAGTCCCTGCAAGACGGACACTGGTTTAATCAGGTTATAGTTTCTAAGACGCTCCTTCCGACGACCAAAATGGAACTTTAAAGATTAACGACCTTGACGACCTGCGGAAATTAACAGTACAGACTTACAGTTCGAATAGGCCTGTGAGGTAGCTTAATTCGGAAGGAATTTGTCCCGACAAACTATTACCACTTAGCTCTCTGCAAAAGGAGGTACAAGATGTTCAGAAAACTTCTCAAATTCGGCATATCACGAGAAATTATCTGATATTCTACTTTATGGAATTCAGACACCAGCATAGATTTATTTTACTTGCAAAACAAAAGCTTAGTTGAGGATGGTCTTACAGGTAGTTCAGTCGTGACATATTTCCGAATTCCATCGGAATGGAACCTGTGATATTGTTATTGTAAAGATATCTACAAGGGAGAGCAACACGAAATCTTGCTGTCAATGCATGGACTAATCAGTGACTTCTGTGAAGCTTGATCAGGTAATGGAGCTAAATTTGTTAATAACTAAGTATTCCCACGATAACTTGGGTTAACACAGAGATTAATCAGAATACAAAATGAGTTTTACTTACAGCTTCGTAAGAGAGGTTAGATTTCCAAGTATTGGGGGAATTTCGCCTTCAAGCTGGTTGTTGCTCAGATCACTGCACGGTATCAAAGTTAAATGAGACCTTAGCAAAATATGATAATGTTTTCCTACATACACTGAGATGAGGTTAAGAATGAAGTGAATTTTCTTCGATCTTTAATGATGTATAATGAATAAGATCTTCGAAATCTTAAGCCACACAAACCGCAACATCCTAAAAATAATAACTTACAGAATCACAAGAGCTTGCATGAGCCCTAGAACGTCAGGAATTCCGCCAGAAAGCATGTTCGCTTCCAATGACCTGCAAATAGTTTCGATAACAAATGACTGAAGCTCATTATAATTGCTCTTAAATTAGAAATTTTACGCTTCAAAAATATTTACAACGGAATTCAGTACAAAGATTGAGAAAAACGTATACTTACAAGGTGCTGACTTGCAAGTAGCCAATGTTGTATGGAATCTCTCCGGAGAAATTATTATAGCTCAAGTCCCTGAAAGAATATATAGAAGGTTGAGACGTTAATATTCTGCGTTTAAAATGTCACAGTGAGTCACCAAGTAGAATGAAAATTCTGATTAGAATCCGAAATGAGAAGCATCACTCACAAGATCTGAAAGGATGTGCAATTTCCAATGCCAGCTGGTAGAGGCCCTGAAAGCCTGTTTTCTCGAACATTGCTGGGAGCCAAAAGAGTACCAAGAATTGTGTCAAGGGCTAACAAGATTTTATCTAATTTCAATTTCACACTAAACAAGGTGAACATGGAAGAGCTACATCTATGACGAAAGGTCCACTTCCTTTCTAAGTCTCTGCAAATACTACCTTCATTAGTTCTGTTCATTACAACCACCATGAAGAACAAGGAAGACATTTGAAATTCAATCAATTTGCAATGAAGGAGACTGAAGCTCACAAATAGGCAAGCTGGGTTAATTTGCACATATCATCAGATAATCCTCCTGTTAGCTGGTTTGACTTCAACATTCTGCAATATGAATGTCATGAGACCGGTGAGAAAATGGAAGGTGTCTACAAGGAACAGAAAAGAAACATTAAAGCATACACCAGCTCAGGGAATTTTAAGGAAAAAGTAAATAGAAGCTATTAACATGCAAGTGATCTTCCGATGATAGTACAGATCAGACAGTACAAAGAACCACGAGTCAAGTGAGAGAGTTCATCGTTAGCAGGAAAGAGAACAGATAGAACCATGATTTGTAACTCACAAATATTGCAACGTTTCACTCCAGTAGAGTAAGGGAGGTATGGGACCAGACAAGTTGTTTATCTGCATATCCCTGTTCAAGATCAAGCCTGTAAATTTAGTAAAGGATGATTAATTGATTGTAAAATAACGAGGATAGAGAAAATACTTGGTCATAAGTGCACGTCGTGAAGTAACCAACTAATTCCAAAATTATGCCAAGAAATTCTGCTTACAAGTGTCGCAGGTTCGAAAGGCTTGCAAAGGAAGATGGAATAGGCCCCGAAAGCTTGTTATTCCGCAAATTCCTACGTGGCAGTTAAACAACAACTCAAGGGACTTGTGGAACTTTCATTGAAGTTATCAAAAAAGAATGTCAATTTTTTTGAACCAATGAAGTCTGAAAGCAAGGCATAGGACAAGCACATAGATTTTAAATCAGAAGGTGAAACAGAACTTACAAGAATTCAAGCAGCTGCAACTGAGACAGGAGATAAGGGATCTCGCCATCAAGGTTATTCCCCGACAAATCTCTGCAGATGAGAGGAACACCTCTTAACCACTAACCTTACGCAGCCACAAGGACCCTCAAAGCAATGAACCTTGCCTGGTAACTATTCCAAAATTAAACTCGTTAAGTGCAGACGGTACTTTACGTGGTTAGGAAGTCGAGCTTATAGTCAGAACACCATAGCCACGGGCAGAGTTCAATAGTTACGGCGGGTGGTGTTAACACAGAGGAAACAAATTCAATCAAATGCGTCGCTGACAAAGAACACTTACATCCATGTCAGGCTCGTGCAGTTGCATATCTCAATTGGGAGTTGTCCAGAAATATTGTTTTGACTGAGATCCCTGCACAAGTTTATAAGAGAAGAACGTTGAGTGCTTCGTGAGGCCAAAATTTATAATGTATCTTGTGTTAACTTTCTAGGTCAGCCAAGTGCTAGTCCTACAGTTGGTGAGGGAGCCTTACAAAACTTGCAGGCTGCGCAACAGTCCTATTGACGGAGAGATTTCTCCTGCTAGAGCGTGGTCTGACAAATTCCTGTACAGTCGGAGAAAAAGCACCAAGAGGTCTCAGAGAGCCACTCCAAGCTGAAAAAACCAAGCTCTGGAAAGTCGTTTTCTTTCCAGCGACTCGAGGTTCGGATAGACTTGGAGGCCGAAACACTTGCAAATATAATCGTAACCAGCGCAGCTACGATTATTTTATATCTGTGCTCCATCATCAATAAAGTCAAAAAATCCAGAAGCTGTCTGAATCAAGAGCAGTCGAAACAAAGGTCGGATCAAGTCCGCGCGATGAACTTACAATGCAGTGACCTCAAAAGTGACGTTGTTGCAGGTCACACCCATCCACCCACAAGGAGATTGACTGTTGCTATCCCAATTAATAAGCTCGTGCTCACCATTCACGAATGCGGCCTTCAGGTTCACTAGAGCACGCACTGCGAACAACAATGCTAATCAATCCTCGGCCCAACTGGATTCTAGTACAATTTTTCAAAGTGTTGCTACCATGGACTCGGACATCACCTTAACATCCTCACACGGGGCACATTGGAGGCCCACAGAGGACCAATAAGAGTTCATTAAACTCTCGTAAGAGCTTGGAATCACATGATCTACCTGAAACGAAATTCCAAAGAAAGTGTGGTAGAGTTGTGAAGTAAATGAAGCGAAGCTTTTGAGAGCAACTCGAACAAAACCGCGTGAATGTGACCTCTTTAAATGGCTTTGAAAACCATTCACCATCTGCCGTGCCTCTACAAAAATCTATTACGAATCAAGGCTTCGAAGGGATGTTCACTCGTGGAGCTGTTTAAGGTATTGCAAGCGAGTGCTGTTAAGAGCAATGTCACACCAATAACGGCTTGGAGGCCGCCAAGTTCAAGTTCCGAGCACTGTGTATTGAAGCTGACAACCCATGACTTTATTTTGCTTGAGCCACGAACCCCCTATGCTGCAAGAAACCATAACAATGTGCAGCAAAACTAGAGGCGGCTGCGAAGAAATCGACGTCATGAGTCTTTCAAAAATTCACTAACCTTCATCAGGTAAGGATATAGCTAATGTCGTCGAGCTCCTCCGGCTGAAAATGAAAACTACAAGCGCACAGAGGACGAGCTGCTGCATTGGCCGCTGTAGTCCAGCTCTCGCCATCCTTTCTGCTGCCTCGATACAACCTCTCCCAAACCCCTCCTCTCTCTCCGAAAGCAAAAAGCCCTGGCACGTTTACGCACTCACGTCTCGAAATACTCCAGTTGCGCTCGGCATCCAGCTCCGGCATTGGATGATTCCTTTCCCCGAGCTGAGGCGTGTGGCGAAGCTCTACATAGCTCTCAAAAGCCCAACCATCAGCTGCAGCAACTGGGGAATGAGAACAAAAGAGAGTGGGCAAGAATCTCTGAGGAAGGCAATGCCGCCACAAAGAACACCTTGATCTGCTCCTATCTCACACTCGCAGCCCAGGCCTCGAAAACCAAAATCTCAGGTAGCTCTGCCTGACAGTAGCCAATGAGTAACACGGGTCAGACTAAGAGAGGACTTCAGCCAGAGAGTAGAAATATAGCCTTCCACCCCGGATGGTATTGATTCTAATCACTTACAACAAGTTACGATGAGGGAGGAGTACTACTACCCTCACTGCCAGACAGAGTCAAAGAGAACGTCGTCAATTGAATGATTCTTTGATTGACCCGCAACAACTGTGTGGAATTCACCAGCAAGTGGGCTGCTCCATTGCACTTGAGTTCACTCCCCTGAGCAACCGTGGGAAAGAGTACTATCACCTTTACCCAGCAAATTGAATAACGCTTGCATGAGTTTTTTTTTTTTTTTTTTTTTTTTTTTTGGTGTACAAAATCCATGGTGTATGTATATACACCAGAATTTATGTAAGTATCAGCGAACCAACTCTTCTGTGACAGTGTCGGGTACCACCTGCAGAACTTAATCCTTTGACAGTCCAACAGACAGTACGCCCTGGAGATACAACTGATTTCACAGAGAGAGTGAAAATCAATCTCCAGAGCTCAAGTAACCTCCTCTCTGACACCATGCATGCAAGCATAAAGAGAAAAGCTCAACTGCGGTACCGTCGCTATAAAACTGTATTTCCAGATCGCAATTGAATACTGAAGAAAAATATCCAACTCCATGAAGATGGTGAACAGTGGGGAGAAGAATATTGACAAGGGTGTTTTTTTCTCTTTTCGTTTTTTGTAGGGCGGGGGGTTTGGCTCCCGGTACTCCTCTACTACCTGAGGGTCAGAGAAATTGAGGTGTGGCGTTCCCGCGCCAGGTGGGTCGGAGCGAAAGCACACCACACAGGTCCATGATTTCACAGCGGGTACGTACTCGAGGATCCCGCCTGCCATCTCTGGCCTCGCAGCAGCAGCAGCAGCAGCCATGAGAATAATTTGAATTTAGAACCCCCGCCTCTGCGATAGAGACGATCGACTCTCCAGCAAAGAGGAAGAAGCGCGAGACTGGACAGTTCTACGTTCCTCGTGATGATATCGTGAAAACTGCCTGCCCGACCCAATGCATCAATCCTCTGGCTCCCTCCCTGTTTCATTCGATCAGATCGTGCGCAGAAGTCGATCTGATGTGATAATAAACCGATATTAATTGGAAGGACTAGTAAACTTCGTCACTCTTGTCAATTCGCCCCCCGTTTTCTCAACGCTTCCGAAACATTTCTGCCAAGGCTCTCAAACCCCCCTCTTCTCATCTTCTTCTAGGGTTTTCATCGCTTTTGCAGCAGTAGCATCATGTGCATGGGACACTTCCGGCAGTCAATAATCCAAAAAAATTTCGAGCCACCGATTCGTGTGGAAGAACTCCGCGAAGCCAAGTGCTTCACTCCGACTGCGTCGACGACGAGGACGACTAGGTGGGTAAATTACAACAGCCGGAGAGGGGGCTCAAAATTAGGGTTGGGCTATCAGAGACTTACCAGAACTTTCACAGAATGGGTGTGTATCAAGCTTAGTCTGTGGGGATTTAACTTTATCCTCCCTTCTACCTTTACTTTTCACCTTTAGCTTTTCGTAAGTGTGTGTTTTCTTTCTTTCATCCTTTTTTTTTGTTGGTATTTTTTGGGTTTATCCCTTCCCCCCCCCTTCCCCCTTTTTAAAGTCGTTTGTACGTGTACATAAATCTGGTACAATATTCACAATTAATAAAAATGACTCGTACTTAGCAGCTCTCTAAGGCTTTGGCAGCTCACTGTACCGTGCATTTTGAAAGGAGAATTAGTTGTCCTCCTTTTACTATGCATGGAAGTTTATGCTTAAGTAAAACGTGACGTTATTAGCTTACTTACATTAGTACAGGCCACAACTGATTTCTTCAAAAATATAGGTTAACCCTACCAGACACATGAGAGAAAAAATTCACACTGTATTTTAGGTGGGTGAAGAATTCACATCTATTGCAAATGTTTTTTTCTAACTCCATAGTGTTGATTACTAACACAAGGTTCCAAACATAAAATTCATGGTCTCCATGCATTTTCCATCTTCATATTTGTAATTTCATGTGCTACCCCCTGGGCAGATGGGGGGGGGGTCAATATAAACGACAGTTTTAATCACAAAAATCTTGTGCATGTGCCAAAATCTTGCCTACAAACTTAAAGTGGCTTCTTCTCTTCATCCAAGAGTTTTGTGATCTAGCCACTCCCACTCAAAAGGAAAAGAGAGTGTTGAATAGTTTGGATTAAAGTCTGCACCAGTCATCAGCTGTTCAAATATGGTACAATATTGTTCTTTCTATTGTTGTTTAACACAATTTACAAGCAGTAAATGGATTGAATTCTTCGATGTAAGAAGAATCTCTTGGAAAAATGGAACCACCAGTACCAGCAAAAACACAAACAAAACAAACATTGCCAAATTAAAGTAGAAATAAAATCAAAGTGGGTTTGGTGTTATGCACAAGTGTAACTATTACCAACAAAACAGATAAAAGAAAAATATAAATATAAATTTATGTAGTAATTATGTTCCTTTTTTTTATTTATTTATCTTCGGTGTGGCAAAAATGAATGAAGGTGATACCAATGTCACACAGAGAAATATATTTCAATGATGTCTACCCAAATACATGAATGAAAATTACTTTAAAACACAAGTTGTCATAAAAGTGAAATAAACATAAAAATACAAAATACAAAATTTGAATCTTGGTATTGCCTTGTAAGAGCTTTAACTTGCATAATGAAAGACAAATTTGAATCCCACCAGTGTCTCTCTTGTACTTTAGTAGTACTGTAATTATCAAATCTTCACAGATTTGGCAAGATAATTATAATATTTTAGGATCACTTACTTCACATGCATTCTGAAGAAACTTTTAATCAAGGTGTAAGTAAAGTATTTACCATACAAGAGACAATCAAAAATACAATGTTGAAAAGCAATCAAACTGCTTATAATGTGAACCACATAATCATAATTTTTTAACATGGTGAGGAGTGACATTTACTACCAAGTTTCATCATCATCAATTAAGTAATTATACTATTTTAAACATCTGAAAATTTATAAAAAAATATTTTATCTATCATCTCAATGAAGCAAACAACATGTATTCAATAAAATATTTATATCTATCAATCTATGTATTCTTATTATTATTGTTTTAGTTTTTGCGTGGTGATATAGTTCTTATCTTGTTTTGTTAACTCTCGTGCATACATATGAAAAAATACTTAAACTACACATAAAAAGAACTAATTTAATATGTAAAAAAATATGGATAGACACGAAGGCTCCTTTTAAGCTTTTTGAAAAATACAAAAAAAATCTTGAAGTTATATAGTTATTGAATGTCTTCTAAAAAGATTGACTTTGAATGAGCTAGTTTATGTATTGAAAACTCATTTTAAACCTCAAAATTATGGAATAATGCATAAATTATAATTATTCAACTACATGCATTAAAGGGGGGAAAATGAAATCATTTGTACATTTGTATATATGTTTAGTGATACTTTAATGATACTAATGTAACTAATCAGAGGTATAAATAAAGTATCATTTATTTAGCATGTTTAATGTAAAAAAAAATTATTACATAATGTTTTATTCATTGAAAGGGTCCCACTGGGTCTTTGTCCAGTGCAATTTTCTTAGTCCTCTTCCTCTGCATGTGCACTTGTGTTAAGCTATAGTACCAGACAGGAATTAGCATTGTTTGAGCTCCAGAAACCGCTCCACTCCAATATACTCTGTAACACACACACACAAATATATATATATATATATATATATATATACATATATATATATATATATATATTCAAATACAATATAATAACCTTGAAATGATGGGATTTCAGCAGCAGATGTAAACAAAAACAATCTCTCCTCTACAAGTAACTTCTATTGTCCTTTTATCTCTGTCCAATCAACCTTTGTACTTGAGACAACACTCTTACACAGCAGCAGGAAAAAAAGTAAAACTAATAATAACAAAAACAATAATAATAACCTTTGTAAGAGAGGTGGAAATCAATAAATGATGGCACTTCAACACCTGTCATTCCACTTCGTCTTCTACAAGTGACCAGAGTAGAGGCAAAAAGGAGTAGTGAAAAAGGCTGAGATGGAGTATGAAATTGACATGTAATATATGGGGCAGTATCACATCCTCTCATTTCCCTCTTTACCCCAGTCCTTTTTATTCTTTCCCACCTTTGGAAGCATAACCCACTACCTCCACTACTACAATACAATCAATACTATCAATACTATCACCACCACTACCACCATCACAGCTATGATTGTAAGAGGGCCCAAGACATCCTTCTTCTATACTTCCACCATCACTGCTGCTCCATCTCCAGGACTACCCATGGCTCTGGTGGGTGAGTGAGTGAGTGAGTGAGTGAGTGGCACTGATGTATATCAAGTAATAGGAGAAGAAGAAGAAGAAGAAGCACAGGGAAAGGGGGCAAGTTGAATGAATGTTCTCATGCATCCACTCATACATTCAAAGTGGGGTGTTGTTGTTGGATCCTTTTGTTGTATTCATTGTCATCTTCTCCATAGCCCTGTTTACATGTAATCCCCATCTGAAGTGTGTCCCTGGCCTTCAGAAGGAGATGAGCTCATCCAATCCTTTCAAGATTTGGACAATCACTGGGTCACACATTCCGATGCAGAGGGAATGAAATGACAAGCACGCCAAAAAGTGTGTTGAAAGGAGAAAGGTGATGAAGGAGTTTTTTTTTATTGGGGGGGGGGAGGATGGTATTTGTTTCTTCTCCTTCTTCTTCAGCTTTTTCTTTCCTCCCAAGAACCGCTTTTGGAATTTACATTTTCTTTTATTTCATTCCAAGTGAGGGGATCCAAGATTTTTTGACAACAAGTCCACTTGCTATTAGGAGAAGTAAGACTCTACAACAAATGAAGAAATTCGGGCATGGAAATTTGTGGGTTAATGTTGAACAGTTCCCAGGATTTTGTAACTGCACAGATGGATGATTCTTAATACTTATTTAGATCTAGACATTCAAGTTTGAGCCAACAAACCCACACACATCACAGTGTGGCAAGCTTTTAGAATCCTTGTGG